AGGTGGGGTTTATACCCTGGCCGGGGCTTGTACTGTGGGCAGGGTTTTACCCCAGATGGGGCTTGTACCCTGAGCAGGGCTTGTGTCCTGGGCAGAGTTTTACCTTAGGTGGGGCTTGTGCCCTGGGTGGGGCTTGTATCCTGGGCAGAGTTTTACCCTAGGTAAGGCTTGTACCCTGGGTGGGGCTTGTGCCCTGGGTGGGGCTTGTACCCTGTGTGGAGCTTGTACCCTGGGTGGGGCTTATACTCTGGAGGGGGCTTGTACCCTGGGCAGGGCTTGTGTCCTGGGCAGAGTTTTACCCTAGGTAAGGCTTGTCACCTGGGTGGGGCTTGTGTCCTGGATGGGGCTTGTGTCCTGGGTGGGGCTTATGTCCTGGGTGGGGCTTGTACCCTGGAAGGGACTTGTACCACAGGTGGGGTATTACCCTGGGTAGAGCTTTACCCTTGGCTGGGCAGGTTTGATAACCAGTGACCAGTACCCACATTTCCACTTCAACTCATGGAGACCCCACGTCAGCATAGGACTGGGCTCTGCGGGCTTTTCAGTGGCTCGATTTTTTTGAAGGAGATTGCCAGCCCTTTGTTCTGCAGGATCTCTGGGTGGACTAGAACCTCCAGCCTTTTGGGTAGTAGCCGAGCACATTAACCATTTGCACCAGTTGCAACTGGGTTTGACAGGTGAGTATGAAATGTCCTGTTACCAGCCTAACATTGCACCTTTTCAGTAGGTGAATGAGGATCTCTCCTGAAAGAGGCAAAAGGTGACTTGGGGAGTTTTCCGCGTCCAAGCTCCGAAGCCTTGTGAGGGCACGAAGCAGAGGACTCGGGCGTCACCCACTTGGGGCCTCTTTGCCATCGCTCTTTCCTTTCACAGCATTCCTCTGGCACCTCCAGGTGCTATGCTTCCCCGCTCTTACCTTCCCGAGTCCTTCACAGGGCTCCAGGGCTTACTCATCTTTGTGTCCCTGGTATGAGTACGTGCCTGGTGTATAGAGGCACTGTCGACAGCGTCGTCATGAAGGAATGCCTGTGTGGACTGATGCCATGTTTCCTGCACTTGGTGTGACTCTGGAAATACCAAAGCTGCTTATTTACGAGGTGAAGGTAGCAATGTTGCCCACTTGATTCTTTTACCTGATGGCAGTTTTATGTTGTTTGGCTTCCCGATTTCCTTATACTTCTGTGACTGTTACTTAACTATGAAGAGGAAGGTACTGCCTTTGAGGCGACAGTGATAGTTCAGTGGTGGAATTGTCACCCTCCATGTAGGACACCCACGTTCCATTCCTGGCCATTGCTCCTCTTCCACAGCCACCCCTTGTCAGTGGAGGCATGGGTACTGCTGCAATGGTGAACAGCTTGCAGTGAAGCTTCCGGACTCGGACAGACTAGGAAGGCAGGCCTGGTGATCTGAGCTCAGCCTGTAGATGCTGTGGATCACGGCAGTCCCATCTGCAACTCTCAGAAGGCCCCGGAGCAGCAGCATTTCGTTCTGTTGGGTGTGAGGTCCCCGTGGGTCAGGATAATGTGGCGACAGGCCCTTCTGCCACTGTGTCCCTTCCGTGGTGATGTCTGCCGGGCTCTCCTCCTGTTCCCCTGCATTCTGTGCAGTGTCCCTGGGGTGCCATCTCTCCCTGGGGCTTCATTGCACATGCATTCCTGGATCCGCTCTATGAAGGCTTTTCCTGGGCTTAGAACCGCCTACCTCCCACTGAATATCCCTGTGGTGGCCCACGCGTGCCTCAAACTCAGCATTGCCAAAGCGAGGCTCGGCACTCCCACCCTTCTGCGTCCCCACCCACCAGTCACCTAGGACATAAACAGTACGGACCTGATGGACTGCTGGTGCCTCTTTGCTGTATCTCCTGGTATTTAACGGGTGACAAAGAGGAGCTCATGGAGTCCACCCCCTCTACCTCTCTGCCGTCGCTTTTTCCCAGGTGCTGCTGAATCGATCTGGGCTCCCGGCAGCCCCGTGTGTTGGAGTAGAACTGTGGTCCTTAGGGTTTCCATGGCTGATCTTGGGGCAGGAGGTTGCCAGGCCTTTCTTCCAAGGTACCTCTGGATGGACTTGAACTTGTAACCTTTTGGTTGGCAGTCAGACATGTTCACATTTGCACCACCCAGGGACTGCCATCATTCACGTCTTTGCTATACCACTATCCTGGGTTAGTTTGGCTCCTTACACCTCTTACCTGCAGGATTGCAGTAACCTTGGGGCCTAGTTTTCTGCCAAGGTCTGTCCTGCGACCATTCATCCCTCAGAGTGTCCTTTGCTCCCTGCCCTGCCTTCTGAGCTGTTGCTGCACTGAACAGGGCCCCTGGTCCTCCTGGCTTCTTTTACACCAGTCTGCCTCTCAGCAGGCTGCTCCCATTCCTGGCCTCCCCTCTCCACTGCCCACCCTGCCTTGTCATCTTCAGCCTTAAAGACAAGTCAAGACCCCTCAGATTTAATGACTTAGCTCAAGTGTCTCCTTTTCTATGGGGTCTTTTAGGGGCTCAGGGAAAATTACCTGCCCCCTCATGTGCCCCCCAACTCAGCCCTGCACAGACTTTGATCACATTGTCTGTGATGCTTTTTATACTGCTCTGCTTCACCCCCCCCCCACCATTGTCTTCCCGCAGATGATAAGCCCACCTTGAGAGCAGTGACTGGATCTTATTCACCTTCATATCCCCAGCATCTAGCACCAAAACCCAAACCAGTCCCACTGCCTTCGAGTCGATTCTGACTCATAGAAACCCCTATTGGGTTTCCAAGGCTGTAAATCTTTACAGAAGTAGATTGCCTCAGCTTCATTGCAGCTGGTGGGTTTGAACTGCTGACTTTCTGGTTGGCAATGCCTGGAAAATAGCCAGGATGTAAAGCTGGATGGATGGGTAGCCAGACGACTAATACACTGGGAATTTTTCTTTCAGCACTCATCTAGATTGCTCTCTCTCAAGCGACGTGCACACATCAGACTGGTGGCCGGAGTAGGGGGGACGGGACTGGGTCCCCTTCTTGCTTTGGATCTAATCTTATTTCCCATGCAGTCAGCCTGCTGGTGGGTGGACTGCTCATGCGCTGTGATCAGCACTGTCCTATCCAAACTCACGATTTCGACAACCAACAGCACTGCAGTGTCGTTGGGGTGGCCTGGCCCTTTTCTGGACTGGACTTGGGCATTGGAAGAGATGAAAGGAAGAAGAAAGAGGAGCTGTGGGATTCTAGCCCATGAGGTGTTTCCTGTAGGTCTCCTGTCTTAGAAGCATGTGTCTGTGTAAGGATTAGTGGTATCAGCCTGGGTCAGGGGACAGCATTCCCAGCCATGAGTCTGTCAACTTCCTAGGACTCCCATAGCTTCTGGAAGGCTCCTAGAGATTACTCCTATCATGCTGGACAGTTTCATCCTCAGAAATTCTATCTAGGCCTTTTGGGCTTAGATAACTCAGACAAGTCCACCATCATGGATGACTACTTTTACTAATGGGGATCAGAAACTGTTTGACATCACCTCCACTGAGAATTAGGGTTAAAAGCTGGGCTGTGGTTTGGTACAGGCTGGTCTTTGCAGCACTCCTGAATTTGTTAATTTGGGAACTGATGGAGTGTATCGTTGAGGGTGGGACATGTGTATAGCTGTAGGCTGGATGACTGTACACTCTAATTACCTTAATAATATTTCTTAATCTTTACCCTGGAAGTTAAAAAAGGTGCATCATTTCCTTTAGAACTTTAAATGTAGGATAAACTTGTGGTCAATGCCAAAAGAATTATTGTAAATAAGCAAGCGGTGGATGGTCATCAGAGTTGATAATGCTATATCACTGGTTTCCAAGATGGCCCTAGAGATTTTGCCCTCACTTAGCCAAAAACAGGGAAGTGTCACTGCTATTTGATTCTTGGTCCAAATACATGATTGAGGATCAGAGCTGAGTGAGGTACACTTTTGTACATCAGTGAGAAAGTGACAAGACACCAAAGCCATTGTTTTGGTTGGTCTGCTTTGACCCAGAATAGGTAAAAGATGGTGCTGCTTTAATTGGCAGGAACCCAGTTCTCTCTCAGACCCAGTACGTGCCTACTGCAACATCAATGTTACGATTGTTGTTAGCTGTTGAATTGGCTGTGACTCATGGTGACCATGTCCAACAGCAGTCCTGCCCCGTCTTCATAGTTATAGGCAGTGAGTCCACTGTGCCTGCCACTGTGTACTCTGTGTGTTCCAGCCTGGGGGGCCCATCTCAACAGAGTTATTGAGATCCATGGGGTTGTCAATGGCTAAGTTTTGGAAGTAGATCACCAGGCCTTTCATCCTAGTCTGTCTGAGTCAATAAGCTGAGACATGGTGGAAAGCTGTCCACCGTGGAGCAACCCGCTGGTACCACTGCTTCTAGCACCATGTTGTTAGCTGTTGTTGAGTCAGTTCTAGGCCCTGATGGCCCCGTGTGGCAGAGTAGAATTGCACTGTTCTGGGTTTTCAAGGCTGTAACCTTTCAGAAGCAGATCACCAGGCCTGTCCACAGTGCTGCTGGTGGGTTCGAACCGTCAACCTTTTGACAGCAGTGGAGCACTTAACAGTTTGCATGACCCAGGAACTCCTCCAGCATCTCAGCAATATGTGAGCCACTCAGTGTGACAGACTGAGAAACTGGTAGTGGTCAGTGTCACTAAAGTCCACTGTATACTCCTTCTGGGATATTAGTTGAAGGTCCCTGGGTGTCACAAACTGCTTGACTGGTAACCTATAGGTAGGTGGTTTGAACCTGCCCTGCGGCACTATGGAAAAGAGACCTGAGGATCTGCTGTGTAAAGGATCCAGCTAAAAACAAACCCGTGCAGCAAGTTCCACTGTGGAGCACCGGAAACACCGTGGTCAGAATCACCTTGATGGCAACAGGTTTAAAGGTTATTAGTCACTCTCCCTGCCCTTTCTTTGTGTGGCCTTTAAACCAGTCACCACTACCGTCGGCAAATGGCCAAACTCACCTTCGTGTGTTTTGTCATTTCTCATGCAGATTTCAGCAATGTCCCTGACATCACGATTGGACTGAAAAGGAGTCAGACGGATGGCACCCTGGACCAGGTTCCCCACAGGGAGAAAATGGAGCAGACGTTCAGGGTAAGGTGTCGCGGACCTCACACCAACGGCCGGCAAGCAGGTGTTCATCCCCTGCCCCTGAGGTGGGGCAGAGCACAGGGAGTTATCCTGTCCCTGTGTCCAGCCACCAATGGAAATGTTCTCCCCCCCTTAAATAGGATAGTTTCTTCTTTTTTTAAAAAAAAAGTGTTTTGAAGTGAAGTCACAACAGGAGCCATGCCTCAGACTGCTCCGTGGTGTCCTCAGGCCACCAAAGAGAGTTTCAGACACTGCCATTCACATGTCAGGGTGGCTTTGTCCTACAGCTTTGACCAAGAAACGTTCTGCTCAGGTGTTGCGACAGCCTTGTTCAGTTACCGTCCCGTACCTTCCCCACATTGCTCACTGCTCAGAGTCGGTCATCTTTGCAGAAATGGTCCTTTTGACATGATCTCTTTTTGTACGCACCCTAGTATGAACTGATTTTGAAGCAGTCACTCTCTTATATGTCTTGCTGTGGCCTTGAATACAAAGTTAGAATATAATCTGTATCAGGTATTTAAATAAAACTTATAGCAGGGCCACATCCGCTTGGGTTTCGACAAATACTACCAGGAGCCAATCCCTCGGTGACCGGCCATGTGGTACACCTTTGGTGACGGTGGCACCCGCTCTGAGAAAGTGGGTCACGTTAGAACCTGCCCTATTCCAAGTGGCTGCCGGAAGCGCTGGCACCCCTCCTGCATTCCTTTCCCCTTCCCTCTGACGCTCCCTTCACTCTTTGATCTTTCCCCGTTGAAAACCAAACACCAGTTGCCCTCCAGTTGATTCTGACTTGTGGTGACTCTGTGTGTCTGAGAGGAACTGGGCTCCCTCAGGTTTCAGTGGCTGATTGTTCAGAAGTGGGTCCCCAGGCCTTTCTTTCGGGGTGCCTCTGGGAGGACTTGAACCGCCAACCGTTTGGCTAACAGCTGAGCATGTTAACCATTTGCACTGCCCAGAGACTCCTGAAAAACAGTTGGCCAGAGAGTTGATTCTGATTCTTGGAGACCTACCTCCTCCCAAATCCCCCTTCTCTCCTTTCTCCAATTCCTGATACAAAACAAAGGCTCAGCCGCCCCCACTGGTCTGGGGAAGCCCCCAGGATGCAGTTTCTTTGACTAAAATGAAGCACTTTAGCATTCTTAGTCTTGTTGTTGTTGTGTGCCATCGAGTCGGACTCGACTCATAGCGACCCCTCCTTGGGTTTCTGAGGCAGTATCACTACGGCAGTAGATTGCCCTATCTTCCTTCCGAAGAGTGGCTGTTGGGTTTGAACCGCCAGCCTTCTGGTTAGCAGTCAAGTGCCTTAGGCACTAAGCCACCAGAGTCTTACTACTCTGTTATATTTCTCGTAGGTAATTTCCTTCATGGAACTCGATATGGTAGCTAATATTCATTAACTTTTTTGTAAATAGAATTCTGTTGTGTTTTGGTGAATGCACAGCAGAGGAGGTTCCCATTCAACAATTGCTGCACAGATTGTTGAGTGAGCTGGTCACATCTTCACGGGGGGAGCACCCAAATTACCTCGTTCTGGGTGTTCGTTTCTAGTGACCTCGTTTCCCTGTTCCTTTACCTTCTCATCCTTTTTTTTTTCCTTCACCCAAGGTAATATGTGTCTTCCCTCTACTTAGTGGTTTTATCCCCCCCTTCCACCCCTGATAACAATGAAAGAATATTTCTTTGTGTGAAATCCTTTCCTTTTTTCACAATTGTGGCCTCATACATTGTTTGTCCTTTTGTGACTGAGTGGCTTCACTCAGCACAATGGGCTCTAACTTCATCCATGTGGTGAGATGTTTCACCAATTTGTCATTGTTCTTTCGTGCTGTGTGGTATTTCCATTGTGTGTGTGTACCACACTTTGTTGCTCCGTTCCTCCATTGACTGGTATTTGGGTTCTCTCCATCTTTTTGCTGTTATGAATAATGCTACAGTGAACATGGGTGTGTCATGGCTCTTATCACTCTAGGATATATACTTAGCAGTGGCATTGCTGGATCATATGGAATTTCTATTTCCCGTTTTTTAAGGAAGTGCCATACCATTTTCCACAGTGGGTTGTGCCATATTACAGTCCCACCAGCAGTGTGTGAGGATCCTAGTCCATCCAGACACTTGCCAGCATTTGTTGTTTTCTGTTTTTTGTGAACTTTGCTGGTAGTGCTGGGATGAGATGATAACTCATTGTTGTTTTAATTGTTCTGGTGGCTAATGATGGTGAGCATTTCTTCAGCTGTGGGAGTTAGCTATTGGGTAGTTAGCTGCCCACTTGTCTTCTTTGGTGAAGTTCCTGCCATATTCTATGCCCGTTTTTTTTTTTAATTGAATTGCCTTTTTTGTTGTTGTTGTTGAATTTTTCTGTAAATTTTAGAGATTAGCCTCTTCATCTTCTTCTTCTTATCATTACTTTAAGTAATCATTGCCCTTTTGGTTTCATTTAGATGATTTTTTTAAGGAGTGCAGTACTCATGGGTGATATTCTTTATTTTATAAGCTAATCTGTTATTTATCTAAAAGGTGACCTCAGGGAATACTTTTGGTTCAAGGTTTAATGAGTATTTCAGGTCAATAGTCTAGGAGAGTCCTCTAATATCAACCAGTCCAGTAAGTCTGGACTTTTTAACAATTTGAGTTCTGTTTTGCTCTTTTCTCCTATTCTCTTAGGTTCCATCTATTGGGGCCCTGGTTAGAATGCTCCGTAATGGAGCCAGGCACCATCTAGTTCTTATGGTCCCAGAGTAAATGAGGCTGTGGTTAATGTAAAGAGTCTTGTAGACCAGTTTCTTGTCTGAGTCTTGGATGTCTTTCTACCTCTTTTGTTCTGGATGAATAGAGACCAATAGTTGTATCTTAGTCATCAAACTTCTTTCGAAGCAGTGAATCCTAGAACATCAAATGGATAGATTTTGATTGCTTTGTCTTAAGTTTCTATAAAAGGCAAGTACTTCTGAAATGCTTGTGATGCTGGGCCCTCTGTTTAAGACAAGTGTGCCTGTCGGGCAGTGCACAGTATGGCACTGGTGCAAAACCACTTAACGCCATTATAGGAATGACTTCCTCCCTGTTACAATCTGCTTGAATTGCACATTAAAGTTCTGAAGAAGGAAATTTAATTTCCTTACAAATTTTATTTTGGTTTAAGATTCAATAAATGAATATGCAGGGAGTCACAGTGTCAAGCCCATTTCAAACGCTGCTCTTTAATAATGCCTCTCCCAGCTAAGAAGCACATTGATAGCATGGACATTGGGGCATCAAACAATTAGAAATCTGGAAGTAGAGTGAGTCTAGAAGTTCATTTTGAAATTGGGGCTTGCTGAGATTTTCACGGTTAAGATGGTTAAAAGAGAAATGAAAAATTAAAACTAAGTCACAGAAGAAATAAAAAAGATTTAACCACCTGGGAATTTGTTTAAAATGCTAAAAAAAAGGAGAGAATATTAGCATGTAAGGGAATCATGTGTACAATGGTGAAACACTTGGCTGCTAACTGAATGGTTGGCGGTTCAAACCCACCAGCTGCCCCATAGGAGAACAACCTTGTGAAGTGCTTCTGTAAAGATTACAACCTAGAAAGCCCTCTGGAGCAGTTCTACTCTGACACACATGCGGTCTCCATGAGTCAGAATCGACTTGACAACTGTATTTTTTCTTTTCCCTCCAACATTTGCTGGCAAGTTCCTCTGATGCCTAAAGTGATTGTCACCTCATTTTTTCAGATATGAAAATACCTATCTACATATAACTGCTTTAAGGGAAAAAAAAAAAAAATCCTAGGAAATACTTAGTACTCACTCAGTTCCCACATTCCTTGGAGAAGAATCAGTGAGTGCCACAAGTAATAATGATGATAAATTAGTGAGAAGAAAACAAAACTTTAAAATTTAAGAAATTCCTTTTTATTTTTCCTTTCTGTATTCTTTTTTTTTTTTAAAAAAAAACAAAACAAAACAAAACAAAAAGCTCCCAGAAACATTCCAAAAAGAAAACCAAAAAGCCGAACCCACTGCCATTCAGTTGAATCCAACTTATAGTGACCCTGCAGGACAGAGTAGAACTGCCCCACAGGGTTTTCAAGGCTATAGTCTTCATGGAAGCAGACTGTCACATCTTTCTCCCATGGAGCAGCCGGTGGGTTCAAACCACTGACCTTTCTGTTAGCAGCCAAGCATTTAATCACTGAACCACCAGGGCTCCTCTGGAAGCCTCAGGTTATGTCCACAAGCAATACTTTTTTTTTTTTTCAAATACACTTTATTTTTTAGAACAGTCGTAGGTTGACATCAACATTGTGTAGGAAGGGCAGCATTCCTGTATGCTCCTCTCCTCCTGCCCGAGGTTGCTCCTGGGTTAACGTCTTTCATTTCTGCAGTATAGTGGTTGCAGTTGATGAAATGATATGGATGCTTTATGATTATCTATTCTACATGATGCTGTAATGGTGGATAACCCAACATTATACATTTAGAGAAGGATGTCATGCTTGGTAAGGTGGAGGGTTGACGAAAGAGGGGAAGGACCTCAACGAAATGGATTGACACAGTGGCAGCAGCATTGGGCTCAAGTATAGCAGGGATCGCGGAGCTGGCGCAGGACTGGGTGGTGTTTCATTCGGCTGTGCATAGGATCACCGAGTCGGAGATGACTCGACAGCACCTAACAACATACATTTGTCACATAGAACTGTACAACCCAGCGTGAACCCTAATATGAACTGTGGACTTCACTTAGTACTTGAATGTTTTTACAGTGTGGATCTGGAGTCTGGGGATACATGCCCAAGTGTGCGCCAGAGGAGATCTTTCTGATCACCTCGGTGAGCGATCCCAGCAATGAGACTGAAGGTGGTCACACTCGAGGAGACCTGCTCTGTGGCCGGCCTTCCACCTCTGGCCCAACTTGCCTTCTCAGGCATCAGTAACTTCTCTCCAGACTAAACTCCGGTTGAACCTGGACTGTGTGGGATATTTCACTGACAAGTATTCTAGACTTTAGAA